TACCATTATGAACCTTTAGCCATGTATGAGGGTTCCACTTTCTCCACACCCTTGCCAACAATTTTGTTTGGGTTTTTTTTTTTTTTTAATGGCTGTCCTAGTGGATATGAAATGGCATCTCGCTGTGGTTTTGATTTGCATTTCTCTAATGACTAATGATGTCAAGCATCTTTTGAGGGGGCTTGTTAGACATTTGTGTACCTTTTTTGGAGAAATGTCTTTTCAAGTACTCTGCCTATTTTCTAACTGGGTCCTGTCTTTCCATTGTTGAGTTGTAAGAGTTCTTTGTATGCTATGCATACTAGACCCCTATTAGATTTAAGACTTTCAAATATTTTCTCACATCCTATGGATTGTCTTTCCCTTTCTTGATAGTATCCTTTGATGTAAAAGTTTTAAAAGTTTCTGATGAAGTCCAACTTATCTTTCTTGTGTTGCTTTTCCTTGCTTTTGGTGTCGTATCTAGAATCCATTATCAAATCCAAGGTCACCCCAGAACCATTCATTCAAGAGATTATTCTTTTCCCATTAAATGGTCTTGGCATTCTTGTCCAAAATCAATTGTCTGTGAATGTATGGGTTTATTTCTGGATTCTCAATTCTATTCCACGTTAGTAACACAGTCTTGATTACTGTAGCTTTGTAGTAAATTTTCAAATCAGAAGTGTGCATCCTCCAACTCTGTTCTTTCCAAGATTGGCTACTTAAGGTTCCATATGAATTTTAAAATGTTTTCCCAGTTGTGCAAAAGAAAAAAAAAAGTCTTTTATTGGAATTTTGACAGGGATTACACTTAATCTGTGACGTAGGGGAGTCATGCCATCTTAACTGTATTAAGTGGAAGATGACTTAATTTTAACATTGAAATTATGAGCACCATTATCAACTTTATTAGGGAAAATGCTGCTTTGCAATTGAGGCCACTAAATCTCCATGGAATCTCCCTTTAAACCCATCTAGCAAAATTAATAGAACTATATTACACAAAATGTGGCAGTGGTAGACAGACAGAAATGCAGCATAACCTAGAATGACTTCTGTACACTTTAACAAGTAAAATAGTTATTGCCCCTCCTGATTTCAACAATTTTGGCAGTGTAGGAAACAGGATTATAAAACAGTAAAAAGCACTGGGAAGGCAGACAACTCTTACCACCCCTTGCCAAGATAAATGAGAGGGAGCTGGGCAGGTTTTGGTTTTGTTGTTTATAACTAAACCACAGAACAGAGACAAGGGCCTTTCACTTCTTCCACAGAACTGTTTAATACATTAACTCAGTGGAAGATGCCAGAAGTTTCCAAAAAAGAACTATTCTAGGAGGGTAAAGAAGTGATAATCATAGCATATTCAACTTTTGCCTGTTTCCCCTGGACCCGAAAAATGTTCTACTCCTATGGGTTTGGAAAGAGCCTCTACTTGGGATACATTGTCTTAATTTTTCTACACACTTCTGCATCCATTTTCTCTTTCAATCTTGTAAAGATATAAGGATAATCCTGGCCTTTTTTTTTTGTTTGTTTTTAAAAGCTTTTATTTTTAGAGAGGAGGTAAGGGAGAAAGACAGGGAGAGAAACATTAATCAGTTGTCTCTTGTATACACCCCGAACAGGGACTGTACCCGCAATCCAAGCATGAGCCCTGACCAGGAATTGAATCGGTGACCTTTCGTTTCGTGAAATGACACCAAACCGAGCCACATCAGTCATGGCAATCCTGACCTTTTAATATATTAAATGTTCCTTCATGTTACTGGCTTATGTGTTTTGACAGTGCAGTTCTGCCACAAACGCTGGTAGGAAATGTGTAGTATTCCCAATGAAAGAACATGGACCTAATAACATTGTTGCTGGACACTTCCTTTTGTCACAATGAGTGACTCCTGCCTAGTTCTAGTGGAAGAGTGTGAACCTCAGACTTCTGCTAAACATAAATCACAATAAGGTCCAGGTCTAGGGGGCTCCCATGGTTCACCTTGGCCCAAAGAGAAAGCTGCCCCAGAAACAGAAAGTGCATTAGAGATTTGTTCCTTGAAACAAGGAATCATGTTTCATTCTAAATCCCAATTACCCCTCACTCAGTTTTTGACATCTCTTTTATACTTAGCCTACAAGATTTGTCCAGTATGTATTGGTTAAATGTAGTGAACAATCAGCCTCTAATCTAGAGCCCATCAAAATCGTCTGTAAGCCTTTCAAGGCACAGGTCGAAAACTGCACAAGATTTATCAGCAGGTCTAAGGGTGGTGTCCAAGCATTTCCAGTTTAAAATATTGCATAGGTAATTCAGTTCAGAATGTAAGGTTTAAGGAATACTCCCTTCCCTACACTTCAGCTCACTCATTTTGCTTAAAATAATAATACTGTATGGCCAGATTGGGTGAGGGGAGGAAGGTTTTCTTCCCCCAGCCTCTAAGGGATTTGAGTCCTAAATTAGACTCAGGCCCTTCGTTTTCAGTTTGGAGAAAAATAAGCACCACCTTTACAACTGTCTTTCGCATCATCTCAGCCATGTCCTTGTGCATTAATCATGTTTAAAAAAATTTTTTTTCTTTATCTTAGGATGTTTTGACATCCTAAAAATCTTGCTGGTGGGAAGACTGCCCTTTCCAAGGCTGCCTAATTCCAAAAGATAGTAATCAACTTACTTTACAACAGCCTCTCAAATGCAAAGCAATCAACTCTTTTTTAAGTCTCACAGACCAAACTAATATTGTCCCTGCCCTCAAATGTCCCAGGACCAAGTACCAGGCAACCAGAAACCATTCCTGTTGTCCAAAACCTGCCAAAATTACTCATTACTCAAACTAGCCAGTCCTAAAAGGTTTACCCTGCCCTGCCTTGACTTTTCTCATGGAACAAAGGGTCTGACCTAAGCTTTCCCCCAGCTCCTGCTTCTGCCTCCTGGCCAAAAACATCCTGTGTGGCTTTCCTCCTCTCTCTGGAAATGTAATACATTCTCATTTCAATGGCATTGGCCTCTTCATGCTGTCACTCAAGTACCTCTATAAATTAAAATCCTGCCAGTAAAAATGACACACCTCACCCCACCCCACCCATTCTTCTGTGCTGTTTACCAACTCTTGTGCTAACTGATCCAATCAATTGGAAATCATACTATACACTAACTTAGGTTTCCAAAACCAAGTTAACAACTCTTAAACTCCTTCATACAGAAAAAGCTCTTGGGCCCCGGCTGGGTGGCTCAGTTGGTTAAAGCATCGTGCCACTATGCTAAAGGTTGCTGGTTTAATCTCACAGCAGGGCACATACAAGAATTGCCAATGAATGGCATAAATAAGTGGAACAACAAATTGATGCCTCTCTCTCTAAAATCAATTTAAAAATTAAAGAAAAAGGTCTTGGAAGCTGTATGAGCATTTCACACTCAGCACTAAGAACCAAATGTAGTATGACCCAGCAATTACTCTCCTAGGTGTGTGTCCAAATGAACTAAAAACACAACAAAACTTGTACATGAATGTTCACAGCATTATTTATAATAGCCAACTACAGAAACAGCTGTCTTTAACGCCTTATAATAAACTGTGGTATAGCCATACAAAGAAATATTATCCAGCCATTAAAAGAAATAAATCAATTCATGCTACAACATGAAACTTAAAGTCAGTATGTTAAGTAAAAGCCAGACAAAAAAGGCCACATTCTGTTTGAATCCATTTATATAAAATGTACACTCACTAGGCAAATCCATAAAAACAGAAAGTGCATTAGAGATTGCTAGGGGATGGAGTAAGGGGGAATGGGGAGGGAATGCTAATGGTACAAAGATTTCCATTTTGGGGTTATAAAATGTTCTGGAATTCGACAGTGATGACGGTTGTACAACCTTGTGAATGTCCTAAAAACCAATGAATCATACACTTTAAAAGGGTGACCTTCATATATGAATTATATACAGTTTAAAAACCTTTATGTATTCTTTTCCCTCGAAACCTACTCGAGTATTCCATTATTTCAGTGCTCAGGACGGAAACCTACAAATTGCAACAAATAGTTACGTCATTGCATTTCAAACGCCTTACTATTTCTCCATTCCAACTAATTCAGGACACCCTCATTTCTCACCTAGATTGTAACAGCCTCCTACTAGGGCTCCAGTCTTCCTACTCCAGACCCATTTTTACACTGTAACTAGAGTTTCCTTTAAAAACAAAATCTTCAATGCCTTCCAATAACCCCAGGTTGAAGTCCAAACCTTTAATGTGATTTGCAAACGCCCTTTAATGGTGGCCCGTGGCGAACCCCTTCAGCCAGGCTGCAGACCGTGGGTATCACCTCAGCCTTGGCACGCACAGTGTGACTTCCCAGCTAACGCCTTCCGACCTCCAGGACTCCCCCTGTTCGCTACCATCACCAGAAAGGAAAGGTCTCCAAATCCTCCCTCTCCCCCTCCGTTTACTAGTTGGTTCCTCAGGCAAGTGCACTGGAAGGGCGGCCATTGAATACGTAAACATTTCCTTTGTGAACCATGGTGGGCCCAAAATTCGGCTTAAAGCTGCGGAGGTGTCCTGAACTCATCCTCACTTTTCCTCAACACTTAATAACTTTTCCGGGCGCCGCTGCACCAGCAGCCGCAGCCACGCTCCACCCCTGCGCCCGCCCGGCTATAAGACGCCGCGCTCCACCGCCCACCGCTGCGTACCCCCTCGCTACGCCTTAGCGCCTCCCGAAATTACTCTCGGTCTCGAGTCCAGGCCGCGGAGGAGGATGGGAAGCAAGCCTCCCAGAACGCTCTGCGCCTGCGCCTGCGCAGACACAACTCTTTGCAGAGGGGGAAGGGTAGGAAGCTGGGCAGCGCATGCGCAGGCTTCAGACTCTCCGTTGAGACGGTGCCGCGGCGGCGCCGGAGGTAGGAGGGGCTGGCCTTTGGGGCTAGGAGTATGCACTCGGGTGGAGGAGATCCAGCCATCTCGGACCTTCCTCGCCCCCTTCCAGCTGCGGTTTAGAGGCAGGAGCAGCGTTTGGGTGGAGGAGGCCCGGGTTTCCCTGAAGGGAGGAGAGGAGGGGGGAATCCGGATGTCCAAGGAGTCACTGCTCGGAGGACAGTTTGGCGATCGGAATTAGTCGTCAGAGTTCTTGGTAGCTGTTCCCTAGGCTGATCCCCCTGCCCGATTCCCGTGTGTTACTTACTGGGTTGAGGGGAACGGAAGGGTCTGCCCCTCGCGTGCCCATTCATTCCGCGTCCGCTAGGAGCCTGTCGCCGCCGTAGGTACCAAAGCTGAGTAGGGAAAAGTCGCCGGCCCTCTGGAAACTTAAGGTCTCGTAGGACCCGCTACTTCCTTAAGCAAATACTGAGTACGTATAGGAGATGCACTGTTTTAACAATAGAGATGTAGAGACAACACTGTGGAGGGTGGAATTTGCTTTAGCTCTCCACATCCAACAGGATAAAATTCAGTTTGGTTCGAAGCGCTAGGGCACTGATGTCTACTGAAGCCTCTCCCACCCCTACTTTCTCTTCCTATTATACCAAATTCTTTGCAGTTAATTAATTCAACAAATAATTGTCGAGCATTTTTTTATAAGTCAGGTGGCTAACAGCCAAAGAGAATACGTAGTAAAATAGATGAATCTGTGTGCCCCCCTCAAGTTTTGAGCTTAGTAGGGGGCAGATAAGTAAATGAATACTAGTTGATACCCTGGAACCATGATGCCTGGATTTGATCCCGGCCTTGCTGCTTGAAAAGCTGTGTGAACTTGAGCCAGTTCCACACTCTTATGCTTGCTTACTTGCTGTCAAGAAGGGATGACATTAGATTCTACTAAGATTGTTGCAAGGATTAAATGAATTAGACTTGTAAAGCAATTGAACTGGTGCCTGGCATACAGTAAGCATTCAATAAGTGTTGTCTATTCTATATGATTATGACTTGTGATAAGTGCTGCTGTGAAAACTGATAAAAGAAAATAATAGGGGTGGAGAGAGTGTACTTAGATAAAAGATGAGGGGAAGCTTCTCTAAGGAGGTGACATGGAATATGTGAATGAGCCAGCCATGCTAAGTAGACTCTAAGTCTCTGTGTCTGCCTAGCACTGGAAAACTATATGATTAATCATATTATTTGGACAATGGAGATTACATTATTGAATTTGAAACAAACTTTATGCCATTGATTCATTAGATTTTGGTTTTTGAACCTCAATAAACTGTGCTGATGTAAATAATCCGGCCTATAAGGCCTAACCTTTGCATTTGGACAGCATTCTAATCACCTGAGTTTGGACAGCTCTTGCTGGGGTGAGAGGATGGAGAAAGTAGCCTTTTTTGACTTGGAAAAATTGGTTGTATCAATGAAGGGTGAGCCTCCTGTGTTACTGCCTTTTATTTGTTCTTATCTCCTGAGTGTTCAAGAGCATGTTCATTCTCATTTTCTCTCTTTCTCTCTCTCTCTCTCTCTCTCTCTCATTATGTTGCCTGCTGGTAGAGCCTCTGATAGCTAGAGGCCTTGGGCCAGCATAGACCTAAGAGATAGTTTTTTTGGATTTGGGAATCATGTTTTTGGGGTGACTACCCTTTGTGGGACTTATTCCGCAGATTTCAGTAAAAACAATACCCTTTCAAGACGCCCAAGTTTTTCTGCCTGTGAAAAAACATGCTTTGATGGGTTTTTAGACCCCCCTCCCCCACCCCCGCTGTGCTGTTATGTCCTATAGGATGATGGGTCTATGTTAATCAAGCTGTACCTGAGTATTGACAGGGGTATTAGTCCCATACTTCACATGCTCTTATACCTTCCTGGAAGAAATGGCACAAAATGACAGTATCTGTCTAATTACACTTAGATGTTTTTGGTTTTCTGCAGATGTGGAATTAAATGAACCCAGTGTGCTTTATCGCCATGGAGACCTTGGACAATCACCTGAGCAACTTCATATGTATTCTATTTCAAAGGCATCTATTAGACAACAAAACCTCTCAAATGTGAACTTTAACAGAGGGAAGCTTTAAACAGGCTGTTTAGCACAGGCTCAATTTGAAGAAAGATGTTTTAAATCATTATGGAGGGAATAATAGTACTTTTATCTCAATTGGGCAAACTCTCCAGGTATGTCAGTGAGAATTAAAGGAGGACCCTAATGAAGCTGTGACCCTGAATGAGGCCCAGCTAGGCTCATTCTTGGGTCCCCAGATTGACCCTCAGTCCTCTGAAAGCCACTTTGAAAGCCTTAAAATTGGTCAGATGATGGATGAGTCAGATGATGATTTTAAGGAACTCTGTGCCAGTTTTTTCCAAAGGGTGAAAAAGAATGGCACCAAGGAAGTGTCAGGGGAAAGGAAGGCAAAAAAGGCCTCAAACAGCTCTCAGATAACAAGCAAACTGGAAAGGACCAAACCAGCCGTTACCAAGAGCAGAACTCTTCAAGGCCCTAGGGAGAGGAAAACTCGAATTGGCAGCCAGGCTACAAGGACGAGAAAACAAGGGGTACCCAAGCGGCAAGAGAGTGAACCGGCTCCCCCTGAGAATGGGGAAGGAAGTGCGCCTGCTTCCGCTGTGCTCCCGGAGAGTGCAGGGAGCTCCCAGACAGGTAACCCAGCCCGCAACACTGTCAGAACTTACAGAGAGGAAACCAGAGGTGATTTGTAGTATTTTAAAACTGATATTGGAACATCTTCTGTAAAGAACCAGGTAATACAGTAAATGTTTTTGGCTTTTCAGGCCATATGGTCCCTGTCACAACTCCTCAACTCCCTAGACAATAAGTGAATTAGCTATGTTCCAGCAAAACTTCATTTACAAAAACAGGCAGACAGTGCGAGGACCGTAGCTTGCCAACTCCTGTTTTAAACAACAGTCATAAAAAAATATAACCCCTGTGTGAATTTTCCACATGATTATGTTTGGGGGCCTCTTCCAGTTTCCTATTAATGTTTACATTATATAGTTGACATGAGTTACACGAACATGAAAATAGTGCTGCTTCTCCCATTTTCTCTAAATCATCCCATAATGGGCACCGTAAGAGTTCCAGGAGAATCCTCAGGTCCTTCCTTTCTCCTCCAAATACCTTTTTATTTCCCCTGCCAGTTTTGGGTTTTGTTTGTTCGTTCGTTTTTTGGTTCATCTGTTCAAAGCACCTTTCTTACTGTGCTGTCCTTGATGTACCTAACCATATGCTTAGCATATATTCTTCATGCAAAGCTGAAAACCAGCCTTGCGTATCTAATATGGAACAGTGTCTTTGGGCTCCAGACTTCTGTGTCTCGGTTCTTCTTGCCTTTACTTCCTGATCTTAAATAATACTTTGTACCCAGTGTGGTCAGCATGACCTCTGAATGGAACGGTGGTAAAGACTTAGCTCCCAGAGACGGTTGTAAGGCTTCAGTGATGTTGCTGAAATGTTGGTCCTTCATGTTCCCTCTGAGAGTCTAGCAAAAGGTACGCATGATTTCCACAGAAAACTGCAACCCCACGTATACATGCAAAATTGACATAACGACTTCAGGGGCCTCATGGATCCCCACTGGAGGCCATCACCAAGTTAAAGGAGAACTTCTGACCTAGAAAGATATAAATGTTTGCCATTAATATTTCTTTAATAACAGCTTTATAGAGATCTTCATATTCTGTAAAATTCAGTGTTGAAATACGCAGTTCAGTGGTTTTAGTGTATTCACAGAGTTGTGCAATCATCTCCACAACCCAACTTTAAAACATTTTCATCACCCCCAAATAAACCCTTTATTCATTAGTAGTCACTCTCCATTCCCTCTCTGGTCACAGATATTTATGACAGGTACATTTATATTACCACAAACAGTGAGGTTACCAAGAAATAATGAGTTCTATTCACACTTGAGGGTTAAACCTAAACTAGTTGGTTTAAGGACCCTTATGAAACTTATGTCTAACCTGTATTTGGTGGAAGAGTGTTTTGTTTCTCCACCTGGAATAGACACGTGAATATTTTTCCCCACAGAGGCTGCTCGTAACAGCAACTCCCAGCCCCCTCCTTCCTGTCTGACTGCGATGGTGCCAAGTCCCTCCAAACCCCGAGCGGCCGAGGTGGTCCTACAGCGCATGCAGCAGTTCAAGAGAGCAAACCCCGAGCGTTTGAAACATGCTGTAGAGGGGTGCTCCCTCCAGGCTGCAGTTGAAGAAGACGTCCCAAAGAGTCCTCGAGAGGCAGTGGTGGTGGGGAACGGTATGACGGGAGTTTTCTGTATTCCCAACAGGAATAAGTTCTAACTCTGGAGGAAGGGGAACAGGAAGGAACCAGCCTTCACTGCATTTCTGCTGAGGGTGTGCTCTGCCTGGCATTCTACCTTTGCCATGTTGTGTGGTCTAGCCAGGGAATGAAAGGTCCCTTTGGTTGTTTCTCAATTCCTTTGACAAAGTATCTCTTCCTCTTGTTTTAATTTTGACTTTTTGATTTTTTTCCATACAGAAAAGTCAAAGAATATTTTACAAAAAACCCTGTATATCCTCAACCTAGATTTAACAATTGTTAACATTTTGCCATATTTTTGTTATGTCTCTATAAAGATATTTGTTTCCTCTGTACCTTGTGAAAGTGATAGGTATCATGACACTGTACCCCCAGATTCTCCATAACCACAATAGCATTATCACCTCTAATTCCATAATATTGCCTGGTATTTAATTTGTAGTCAAATTTCCCCAACTATCCCAAGGATAGCTTTTGTAACTGGTATCTGAGATTTGTCAGAAATACAAGTTCGCACATTCTCTTTGGCTGTAGCCAGTAGTCTCTTAAGGTCTAAAACCTAGAACAGTCTTCTTGCCTTGTTTTTGTTTTAATGATACTTTCTGAAAAGTCCAGATAATTGTCTTAAAATTTACCACTTTCTGGATTTGCTTGATTGTTTCTTCATGACGTCATTTAACCCCTTCCTGCAACCTCTGTGTTGCATTATACTGAATAAACTACATGTGTCATTGGCCTCAGGTTAAACACTTTGGCAACAGTGGTTTACGGGTGCTGTGGACCACCCCAAGAAGCACATAATGTCTGGTGGTTCCAGTCTTTATCCCCTAAACAGTATGAATCCTCATCTCTGATGAAAATATATAAAAGGAATAGGAAGAAACTATATTGACAGATCTATGGTGAATGAGCATGTAGTCTCATGGTATTGCATTTGCATATTTCATCTTAGGAAACCTGATGAGTCTCGGGCTACCCCAAAGGTCCACACAGGTAGCAAGGTGACATCTGCTGTGGCATCAGTCCTTTAGCCCTTGAGCATCCAAGGGTTGCAGAGGAATTGCTCAGCCAGTATGTGAGCCCAGTGCTTCCTTACATTTGACTCAGTTGTTTTTCTATATCTTTACATCATACCAAACTGCTCAGGAGAGATAAACCACTGCTTTGCTAAAAAAATTAAAGGGTGGGGAGACACCAAAATAAAGCATGATCCTTTTCTGTCTTTGGTGGAAAGAGGGACAGGTCATTAGTAATATTCAAGAATTGAGAATTTATGAAGTTTTCAGGGCATATCCCTCAGGAACGCCAAGGGTCTGCTTCAGCAATATCAGATGTGACGGTGTGGTGGCAGTAGGCACAGCTACCTTGGGAGCCACCTCAAGGCATTTCACTCTGACCTGGTTCTTCCAGGATGGGCAACAAAAATCGTAGAGATCGTAGCAGTAAGAAAGATTGAACTTTGAAGGAAAAACAGATTTGTTGGAATAGGAGCCTTGTAAACCTGGCATGTCCAAGGCTATAAACCTGGCATGTCCAGTCTAAAGCTGACTTTAGCAGAATTGGAAAAATGAAAGGGAAGTTCTCTAGGACTTGATACTCAAAGAGTGGTCCTGAACCACCAGCATCAGCCTTAGCTGGGAGTTGTTAGGAATTCTGGAGCTCAGTTCTCCACCTAGACCTTTGTAATGTGAACCTTCATTTTAGCCAGGTCCCCAGGTGATTTTTACACACATGAAAGTTTGAGAAGTACTGTTCGAGGAGCCCCTTTTCCTGCTCTACATCACTGGATGGTGCCTGGCATGAGGCAGAGGAGTGCGGGGTCTAGTTTCTCCACAGTGCACCCAGTGTCCTTGTTCTATGAGATCTGACAGATGCACACAGGTCTGAGGATGAGCTCATCCTCATGGACCTTTGTTCCTCTCCACAGGGTCTGGGCCCTGGCTCCCTGCCACAGAGAGCGACAGTGCAGTGGCCTTGGCCCTGCAGCAGGAGTTTGGGCAGGAACGAGCCTCTCCATGTGATGACAGCCTGGAGGAGGAGGGGTTGTTCTTCTGCCAGATCTGTCAAAAGAACCTCTCAGCTATGAACGTGACACGGAGGGAGCAGCATGTGAACTGGTAGGAGCAGCTTAGCTGTCATCTTTCCCACGGGTGTGACCAGGGCCAGGGCCCCTATGGCTAGAATGGTAATCTTGAGATAACCTTACAAGTAGCACTTCAGTGTTGGTGTCAACCTGTCCTTGCTTTTTTAACAGCTTTATTGAGATAACATTCACATACCATACGATTAACCCATTTAGAGTGAACAATGCAATGGCTTTCATTTAGTAATATTCACAGAGTCATGCAGCTGTCACCACAGTCAATTCTGAAATATTTTTGTCACCCCAAAAAGAACACTTGTACCTATTAGCACTCGCTTCCCATTTCCCCTTACCCCAGCCCCTGGCAACAACTACTGTGCTTTCTGTCTCTGTTGATTTGCCTATTCTAGACGTAAGTGGAGTCAAACATTGTGTGGCTTTCATGTGTCGGGCTTCCTTCACTCAGCAGTGTTTTCAAGGTTCCCCCATGTTGTAGCATGTGTCAGTGCTTTCTTCTTTTTTGTGGCTGAATAATATACCATTGTACGGATCGACTACATCTTGTTTATCTACTCATCCATTGATGAACATTTCTATTGTTTCTACCATTCGGATATTGTGACTAGAGCTGCTTTGAACATGCATTTCATGTGTTTGCTGAAGTATCTGTTTTCAGGTCTGTTGGGTATAAATGTAGGAGTGGAATTGCTGAATCAAACAGTGACCCTGTGATTATGTTTAATCTGTTCTTGCTTTCTTCGATCACCTTTGCTAACAGATACCTAAATTCCATATCTGGAGGCTGACTACAGGTTGTATGGAGGGACTGGCTTTGAGGAGACAAGGTTTGGCCCACAGCATGTCCTTGTCGATGTGGAGCCACCAGGGAAGGTGGTTCTCCCGTGTTTACTGTTTTCCTTCAGGTGCTTGGATGAGGCTGAAAAGGCACAGAGACCTGCTGCACCTCAAATCCCCGAATGTCCAATTTGCGGCAAGTCATTTCTCACCCCAAAGAGCAGAATCAGTCACTTGAAAAAGTGTGCAGTGAAGATGGAGGTTGGCCCCCAGCTCCTGCTCCAGGCCGTGCGGCTACAGACAGCTCGGCCTGAGGGGACCTGCGGCACACTGGCACAGGCATCGAGGTGAGTCAGGTGAAAAGGAAAAAAAATCAAAGAAGTACTCTGGTTTGGTTTTTTTTTAAAAAATATAACCTTATGTAGTGTTGGAGGACAAAAGAGCCCTCTTTAATTCTGGAAATGAAACACAAGGAGGAAGTCGGTCATGGTCCCCACAGAGATTGAATAGGGGACAGATTCTGCATCCTGGATGGCTTTGAAATGGTCTGTGCGGGTGTGTCTGTGGAAATGACCAGTTGGACTGGTTTCCTTGAGGTCCTCCCTTTGGAGAATTTTCTACTCCCAAGACCTGGCGGTCAGTGCCCTCTGAAGCAGCTAAGAACTTGGTAATTCCCTTTACCACATCTGTCACGTGTGGTACAGCCTCACTTGCATCACAGTGCAGTCCGATTTTCACACTGTTAATACAGGATTACTCAGCATAGTTCAAGGAGTTGGTGAGACAGAACGATAGGCCTTTAAAAAATATTTGCATGAATTAAATGCTTAAGTGTTAAAATAGGAGGCACTGCTAATGATGTAAGTCTTCAGCATGCAGGCCACAAGCACAAAAGTGGCGGAGGGTCAACCTGGTGCTGCATCACCCCTGCCACTCTGGGTGGCAGAGTAGACCCCAATGTTGTAGGGAACTCAGGTAGCTTTAGCCCTGGACTGCTGTGGGTTTAGAACTTCTTGGACAGCTGTCAAGAGCAAAGGGAATGCCAAGGGCAGTTTGTTTGTCTGGGCCACTGCCTTGAACGCAGGTTCTGAGCGTGGAAGCTGGGTCAGTGTTGAGATGGGGAGCGCAGAGACTGAGCCTGTGCTGGTGACTCTGTCTGCACTTTAGTTACCAGCACTAACTAGCATTGTAGACTTGGAAGCCTAAAGGCTGCGAATAGCCGTTCCCTAAGCCATTACTTGCCTTTTGGCAGGACCACGCTGAAACTACCTACTCAGATAAAATATATCTGCTTTTTAAATATCTCCAAGAAGTGAAACATGATGTTTGAGGGTTCTAGAAGGCTGTTCAAATAGAAAGCTACAAATGGATCTCCTCACTGAGACTTCGAGCCTCCCCTTCCCTGGGGTGTGTGGAACGCTGGGGTAATCATGACTCCCTGGCCAGGGCACATGCGCTGGTCGGAGCACCCCACTCACCTCCACACCCCTCACCTGCCTTTGTCAGGGCCCAGGCCCTGCCTGTTGGGTCCAGAGATGCACTCTACATAGTGGCAGGGCCCTGGGATGTTGCGGTAGCTCCTTTCCCTTTTGGAGGCTGCGGTTATCACGCAGAGTCCCCAGGAAGTTAGAACTGGATTAGGGCTTGCTTTGATCTTCTGAGATGATACCTGAGATTCTGGAGCCATCGCTGGCCCAGTGGAGAGCATGAGCTTTTGTGAAAGCCAAAGGTGTTTCCAGATGCCCCACAGCTGTAGGGAAGGTGATCTTGGGGTTGCTCTTAGTTTCTTTCTCACTTTCACCTTTCTACTTCTTGCCCAGCCTGTTGGGAGTCAGCAGGCAGTCTAGGTTTTCTTCAGCCAGAAAATCTTTCAGTAAATCTCTGAGCCAAATGAGTCACTGTATGTTGGCCCCCGAGCCCGCTGACCGCATTGGTGATCCAAACCGAGAGGCCCTTCCTTCAGGCCTTGGGCAAAGGCACTGCCCTGCAGCCCCTGTGAATCTCTGTAGGAAGGAAGGAATTCTTTCATGGCCAGTGTGTCCAGGACCATCTGAGGGGCATCTGAAGTATCGATGGAAAGAAGCTGGCAGAATCCAGGGTGCTGACATGGAGCCATCGAATGTTGACTCGACTGAAAGGGTCTGGCCACATCTAGGGTGTGCAGGTACAGCACTGCCACCCCTCCCTGGCTGGGCAGAATCACACAGCAGGACCCAGACACTCTTGTGCTTGGACTGAACTGAACTTTTGGCCTAGGATTGTGTGAGCTTGTGTGAGGCACAGAATGAGCACAGTGAATTCCCAGAGCACTTGATCCTCTGTCTGATGGGTTCACATTTACCGCTTTTCTCTTCCCCTAACAGAGGAGAAGGGGTCCGGCCCTCTTTGGTCCAGTGGGGACCACTTCAGGACAGGATGTGCTCACAACTCTGGCTGTCACTAACCTTTCTGTTTGGCTGCCTTTTAAGCTTCAGTAATCAGGTTGGAGGTCTGAAAAGGAAAGGAGCCCCCAACAAGAAGAAGCCACAGAAGAGGCAGAAGGTCAATGAGCCTGAGGTGCCATCCGAGGACCTGCTGGTGGCCATGGCTCTGTCCCGGTCTGAGATGGAGCAGGAGGCTGTGCCTGCGGTGCTCACACTGAGAACTGTTTCTTCAGAGAGGAAAAGACTGTCAACAGGTATATGTGTCCACAAGTGGAGACTCCAGGGGAGCTTTGCCTCACTGCCTCTGGCTGAAGGTTACTGCTGGGCCTCAGGCTATGTGAATGACTCTGTTATTAACTCTCACTTTTCTATCTCTAGAGAAGAAGGGTCGCAAGAAGAAAGCACCCGTTTCCCCACCCCAGTTGTTAGTCCAGGACTCCGAGACCACAGGAAGACAAATTGAAGATCGCGTGGCCCAGCTCTTTGCCGAAGAGGAAGTAGAGTTGTCCAGTACGCCACCACTTCCTGCGAGCAGACTTTTAAAGGAAGAGCTAGAAAAGGCCAGCAGGTGTCTGCAACCACCTGAAGGGAAACAGAACTTTCTATGGGAGGGCAGTGCCCTGACCGGGGCCTGGGCTCTGGAATGCTTCTACACAGCAAGACTGGTGCCTCCCATGGTGCCCCAGCAGTCCACCAAGGTGTGCCCTCCCCTCCAGACACAAGTGGGTGGGCTCTGGGGATAGGTGGGTGTTTGGCAGCTCCAGGATTACACCACTGGGAATCAATAGTTGAGGGACAGGAAGTTCTAGGAGGGGAGGGTATAGGAGGAAGCCCAGGGGTGTCAGCCATAGGGTTTTTCTCTTGGCAGTGACTAGATGGCTCTCCTGGTAAGAACAGGGAGGTCCGCTGGTTCGCAAATGTATTGTGTTCCTGCAGTTTAAAATGCAGAATCCCAGGCCCCTTCCCAGAGATCTGACAGAATCTGCCTGTGAGGCGGCTTAGGAATGAGACAGGCCTGATGCAGATGGTCCTAGAATCAGTGCTTACTTGCTGGAGGCCACTTAGATGACATTACAAGGACAGGGGCTTCCAGGGATCATTCCGCAGGTGTAGATGCCATGGCATGGCCTTTGCCATGACAGAGAGGCCTGCTGACAGTAATGAAGAAAAGATTCCCAGGGTTGCTCTGGGCTGCGGCTGGCACCATCAGGGACCGTCTAGGTGGTGGGTACTGTGGCAGTCACACGGTCCCCCTGGCTTTCGACTTCTTTCAGGGTCTCATGCAGGAGCCCACACTGCCACCAGTGTCACCTGCCCTCCACAGCCCCTGTCCCAGAAACCCATCACCTTCTGCCAGCCAAAGGGAGTACCAGGCCCTGCAGGACCTCGTGGACCTGGCAAGAGAGGGGCTAAGCACCAGCCAGTTGCCCAGCAGTGGGACCCCAGCTGACTTGGGGGGAACTACAGGTGAGACACAGGATGGGACACCTGGGCCAACCCCGCCCTCTGGGCCCTCGCTACCCTGTGGCCAAGGCCATGAAGGCAGCTCAGATTTGAGGTTCTCTGGTGTGTCCCCGTATGATGGGGAGAAAGGGTAGTCTCTGTAGGTGCCTTCATTTTCTTTCTCAAAGGTGAATGTGACACTGGTAAGTATCACCATTTCCTTAAACTTTAACCAAGGGTAGGGCCATTTGTCCAGAGTGAGTGATCAGTGGCCTGTTTATTTTACTGCATGTCTTCCTCTCTGATGGAAGGGGTTAGGGGTAAAAGTGGTTTGTGGGCATCACTTTCACAGAAGTCCAAGGCCCTTCTGGGGTTGATTCAGCCCACAGTTGATGCTCTTTCCCTGGAGGCTGACATTGCAAGGAGGTGATGTTCTTTTAACCTGTGAATTCTCTCAGGGATGGATCTGTTGCCCGGTGGCCTCCCACTGACTGGGTTTGTCCTGCCAGCTGAGGAGCAGCATCCGGAAATGGGCGGTCAGGCTTCGGTAAGGACCTCTCTGTGGGGCCTGGCCCTGCTCCGGCTCTGTAGTCTTGGCTGCTGGTGCTCATCATATGTTCAGTGCAGTCAGCTCACCACCAGCCTTTAGCCCCTTGTAGGAGTCCACTGGCCCCCAGAGAATATTCGAGCTGAGTCAGGCAAGAGCCCACAGAAGCCTCCTGTTCCCCTGGCTGGGACTCTGCCATGAGGCTTTGTCCCTTTTGTCACTGAACTGTGGGGGTAGCTCATTTACCAAGCCCCGGGAGCCTGCTGTCCCTGGGACCCCAGAGGGCCTGTTATTACTCAGCGAGGTTACCTCATTCAGCCGACTACTCTGTGCACTCATTTCTCAGAGTTTCATTCATTCATTCAGGATTCACTCTGCCCCTCCGACATACTGGTCCTGGGCTGCCCACGCCTGGTTGTTCATGTTCTGCGTTGGTGATGAATTGCGTGAGAAATTGGTTTCTTTTAGAGTGGATGTCACCCCATTAGTATGTCAGTATCACATCAAGTTTTCCTGGTGACCATGGCACATAGAGGACTTGGAGCTCCTCTCAGCTGGGTCCCTGAACCATAGGGACTGGGGGGTCCTCATCTGTCACACTGGGCTGGTAAATTTCACAGGGCCACACAACAATGTTTGTGAAACACTAGGCCTGCCACACGTGGTGCTCAGGAGCTGCCACTGCTGCAGCTCCATCTTTTTAGAACACCCATGCCTCTCCATTGCTGGTCCCTCCCATCTTAGGCCAGGGAACTCAGTGTGATAGAGTATTTGAGAAAGAAGTTAGTGTTTTGCTGTTCCATGTTGCTGAATGACTTAAGGTAGCTTAAAGGTGGAACCCAATGTAGGAACCCTATTGAGGAGAGTGCAAGGGTCCTGCCTGGCCACTCTAGCATCATCTCAGTTGGGGAACTGGCACAGTTAGGCAAGTGACAGATGGAAGTGACAGCTCTCCTCCTGTTTCAGCTGCCCCTTGGTTTGCTGGTTGCTGACTTCAGTGCCATGGTCAATAACCCACACCTGAGTGATGTTCAGTTTCAGATGGACAGCGGGGAGGTGCTATATGCGCACAAGTTTGTGCTTTATGCCCGATGCCCACTTCTCATTCAATATGTAAGTACGTAGTGAAGAAGCTGTATCTCCGTGCAGCCTCCTCCATCCCCCTTCTAGCCTCTTTGTCCTTCTGTCTCTCCCTTCCTCTCCCTCTTCCTCTCCCTCTCTGTACTCCCTGTTTCTGCCTCCCTGTTACTCATCACTCTTTGCTCAGGCTGTCTCTTTGTCTTCCTGTTCCCTGAGCTCCTCCCTCCTGAGCCACCTGGCTTTCACTCACCCCATGCTTTCACTCTTCTTGCTCCCTGCTCTCCTCCCACTGTCCTAAACATTTTTTCCTTAGTTGCCATAAGGTTACACTGCTGTGGAGAAGACATGTCTGAGGTTAGGACGTGGTTAGAGGAACTGACCTCAGGATTGGGAAGCATCAGATTTTCTTGTTCTTGACCCATTGAATAAAAATCCTTCCCCCAACCCCAGAATTTCCTTTTTTCTCTATTTGCATAATTATGAAGACTTAAAAGTGACCTCTTTAAAGTTGAGCTGCAGACAGCATGTCTGCGTTGACATGTGTTTGACTTGAATATTGTGTTACTGGAATCCAAGAAACTGCTGTTGGTCTCTCAGAGAGTTTTAGTGCCTTTGGTACATTTTGTCAAAAGGGAACCATCTGGATTCTTGAATATCTATCCCTGATTTGATTTTGAAAACAGACGTTTTATGGTTTAAACTGCAGAATTTCTGGTCATCAGAATGGAGTGACACTGGCTAATGCTTGTTCCTGGGCTGAGGCTGTTTATAAGATTAAAGACTCACAGGACTACCCTCCCCAAGATCATCTGCTTTGTCCCAAGTCATGATTGTTCTGTCAGTAAACATTCCATACTTTATTTCATCCTCAGGTAAACAGTGAAGGCTTCTTTGCTGCAGAAGATGGTGACTTAAGAACCCAGCGCGTCCTGCTGAGTGACGTGAGCACAGAGGCTACCCGTGCATTCCTGCATTATCTCTACACTGCCGACACCGGCCTGCCTCCCCAGCTGGCCCCTGACCTGCGTTCCCTCGCTTGCAGGTCTGCATTGTCAACCATGGCTCTGACATTAACTGACAAGCATTATCAGGTTGATGGCTCATGAGAGGATCGGGGCTGAGTCCCTCTAGTCCTTTTAGTCCCAAGTTTATGCCCAGTGGTGACCTTGAACAAGGCATGTTGATAGGAAACCTGGCCAGAAATGGACTCTGCAGGAGAGCCAAGGCTTATTGAAGAGTTCTCTCCTGAGTCTTGTGGCTTTTAGCTCCTTGGGTGTGATGAGAGGGTGGCCCTAAGACTTAGCTTCAGCTCCCTGCAAACACTGCCACTCCTCGATTGCTCTACCACTGAGGTTAAACAGTATCAGTCCTTTCCCAGGTCCTGGAAAACATAAGTGGGTAGTAGGCTTAGTCCACTTCCCATGAATTTGCACCTATCCAGCTTGTCCACATAAGTATCTTAGGAGAGGTGCCAGGTAGCTCAGCAAAAAAAGATGTTCTACCTCCTGACAAGTTGCGAGGGCCTCTGGAATAAAAAGCCTTGTTCATCCAAGGACATGTCATTCCTCAGATTCATTTTTCTTTCTCTCTCTCTTTATGTTTTTAATCCTCACCTGAGGACATGCTTTCATTTATTTTAGAGAGGAAGGGAGAGAGAGAGGGAAGAGAGAGAAACATCGACATGAGAGAGAAACACCAATTGGTTGCCTCCCATACGTGTCTCGACCAGAGACTGAGCCTGCAACCCAGGCATGTGCCTTGACTGGGGATCGAACTCTTAACCTTTTGGTGTATGGGATGATGCTCCAACCAACTGAACCACCCAAGCAGAGCCCTCAGATACACTCTCAGGAAAGGATTGGTTCAGCTTCTAGAGTTTTAAATGTACTGATTAGACCACAGAGCCTTCAAGCAGGTGACAGGTTGACACATTCATTGGCCTGGGCTAACCTATGACAGGTTTAGCAGGCTTTGGTTTGCATTGGTCACAGTGCTTTGGGTACCTCTCAAGGCAACATGAGCTCCCCAGTTTTGCAGCACCACCAGTTGCTGTTATCTGAAGCTCAGCCTGATGTACCCCTTCCTGTTTGTGCAGTGGAGTTATTGAGCTTTGCCTTAACGTCTCACCAGTCTCTATTTCTAGAACTGAGTGGCCTGGGGTGTTGCACATGCATCCTAGTTGCAGGAGAGCAGGGAGAAGGCCAGGACTGAGTCACAGTTGTCCTGACTATGAGGACTTTCATTCTAACTCTTTCCTATGCCAGGGGCACTGGGCTGCAGCCTCTGTGCAGGATGGTGATGATGCTTGATGTTTCCTGTTGCAGGTTTGGTGTGAGTGAGCTTGCTCACCTGTGCAGACAAGCATCTGTTGTGATGGATTCAGGGGGCAGACAATGGAAGGAGAAGGAAGATGAGGCTTGTGAAAGCAGAGCAGAGAACTTCCAAGAACTCTTAAGATCAATATGGGTAGATGAAGAGGAGGAAGCAGAAGCCCTGTTGAAATCCGAGGGCCTTGAAGAAGATAAAGAAAAGGTCAATGAAGCAGAAATGGAAGAAATTTACGAATTCGCAGCCACTCAGCGAAAGATGCTCCAGAGAGAAAGAGGTCCAGAGATTGAGGTGGAAACTAACCAGCTTGGGCAAGATGGTCCAGGTTCTGGGCAAATCCTAGCAAGCATCCAGGTTAAAGAACAGTTAGAAAATGCAGAACAGATGGAATCATCTGGGCAGGGCAGAGATGAAGCCCTAGCCAAAAAGAAAAATGTGGGACAGCCCATGTTCTTGCCACTCAAGGGCCAGTGTTCAGATGGGGAGGAGGAAGCAGAGGCGCCAAAGGAAGCACTGGATCGTACTAGCTCCTCTAGCCCTTCCCAGGGCTGCTCGGCAGAGAGAAAGGAAGGATCTTTTTTGTACTCAGTTGATGTCAATAATTATAAGCAGCCCTTTTTATCAACTCCAGGAAGATACCCTGAACCATCCCAAATAACAAGTGATCGTGAGAGAGGCAATGGCACTGGCAGAGAAAGTGTGGGGGAGAGCTTCCATCCCACCACCTGCCAGCAGGCACCTCCGTCATATCCATTCTTCTTCCCGTCACAGCCTCCTCCAGTCAGGAGTCCCTGCCAACCACACACTCACCCTCATCGCACAGGTGACTTGTCCCTACCAACACCACAATCACAGGGCAGAGCTTCCAGGGCGGCCCCCCAGGACTCACCATTGAAGCAAAAGAGGAGCCAGAGCCTTCTCACACAACTTAACCACCCAGGCCACGAGAAAGGTGCAGAACATGGTTCCATGTTGGAATACAGAAATGAAGGAGTCTTGATCTCGCCAGAAAAGTCTCCATCCATTGACCTAACTCAGGCAAAACCTGGCCATTGGAGCTCCAGATCTCAGAATTCTCTATCTAGTGTGAACAGAGAAGATGAGATTATCCTTTTATTGGATTCCGATGAAGAGCCAGAGCCAGAGCCAGAACAAACCAAAATAAAGCCAGTTTTTAATGGTTCCCTGGAAGAGGGGAAAGTTCTAGAAGTTAGCCCCAAGTTCTCTGACCTGTTCTCCATCATTGACGTTGATGCAGATCAGGAACCTCCCCAAAGCCCACCAAGGAAAGAGGCCACAGTGCAGCAGGAAGAGGGGCGGCTGTCAAGGAACCAGGGCTGTGTGGGTGGCAGAGGGACCCCCCAGCTGTTCTGTAGCCCTGTGAGCAGCCCCGACAAGGACAGCACCACAGACACCTCGTGGCTGGTGCCCGCCACCCCACTTGCCAGCAGAAGCCGCGACTACTCATTGCAGACCCAAACCATGGGCCTCAGGTCTAGGCCTTCAGGATATGAAAAGGCTCAGCTCAAGCCCAGGACCCCAGTAGAAAACAGGGATGGACCCAGCGCCACTAATAAGTTTTCAGTAATTGTGCCTCAGATATCGTCACCCTGCCTGGTCCCTGTCAATCCTAGAAGTCCTTCCAGTCCCCACCCCAGGAGCCACAAGCACTTTTCTCTGCTAGCTCCCTGTCCGACGTCGGGAGCCCTCACTGACTTAACTGGGCAGTTCCAGAAGCGCTCGCTGCCTAGGCTGAGCCTGCCGAATCAGGCCACAGCGAATGAGGTGGTGGAGGTGGAGGACAGTGAAGATGAGCAGGAGGTGGCTTCCCCTCAGGCGAGCAGCAGCCCCATGCTGGACAGCGGCCCCCCCATTCCAGCTGATGACTGCTGTTGGCATGCTGAGCCCCTCTCACCGATCCCAATTGACAGTTTGAACCTTGAGCGGACTGGCCCCCTGAGCACCAGTAGCCCAGGTGGTAGGGTGGGGGAGGCCCCAGACAGTGGTGGCTGCCACTCCCCTGTATTCTTGGGCACCACCCCCATCCGAGGAAGCTGCATTGGCCAAAGGAAGTCTCAAGAGAAGTCCCCTCAGGCCAGCTCCCCTGGGAGCAGCAGGCTGAGCTTCTTGAAATCACCGCTGTGGGATGATTGGGATGGAGAAGAACAGAAGTCTCCAGAGGTTCTTTCTCTGGCCCAGACACCAAAAGCTGATCGAGGTCAAAAATCAGAAGGCTTAGAGAAGCCAAGTGAGTAGAGGAGAGAGTTGTTTATCTTTGACATTCTTTTACAGTAATGGCCCAGGTGGAAATCAGTAATGACAACATGAGGTGGCAGGGCTGAAAGGCCTGCTGATCTGTGACAAGCCCCTTTCTTGCCTTCCAGATCCCTCTCCACAGTTGAGGGAGAATAGGCTTACTATCAAACACATACTTCTTAGCTAGTAAATCTGGGCTTTCTAAGCTTGCCTGGGCCCTACAGGCAAAAGTGTCACCTGGGCACTTATTAAAAGTGCCTGCCTGGGGACCCTGCTCCAGATTACTGAACCAGCACCTCTGAGAGGCCAAGGTGCACACCTCAGGTGTGTCTTAAGATTGGGCAAGTGCAGTTCCTTAAAAAATAAAACCTAGAATTGCCATTATGACCCAGCAGTTCCACTCCTACATATACATCCAAAAGAATTAAAACCAGGACTCAAACAGATCCTTGTTCACAAATGTTTACAGCAGCTCTATTCACAATAGCTAAAAGGTGGAAACAACCCAAATTTCCCACAACTGATTGAGTAGATGTATAAAATATGCGCTATCCAAAAAGTGGAATATTTTTCAGCCATAAAAAGGAATGAAGAACTGACACATGATGTAACATGGATAAACCTTGAAAACATTATGCTAAGTGAAAGAAGTCAGTCACAAAAGACCATATATTTTATTATTCCATTTATATAAAACAACCAGAACAGTCAAATCCATAGAGATAGAAAGCAGGTTATTGGTTGCTGGGGTATAGGAGAGAAGGAGGTGCTTGCTACCTACGGGATTTCCTCTGGGGGCCGGTGGGGGGCGGGGGACGGTTAAAACATTTCCAATTAGATAGAGGTGGTTGTTACACAACACTGAGTATACTAAGTGCCACTGAATTACTTTAAAATTTTATTATGTGAATATTAACTTAAAAACAAATGGGGCTGTGAGAGAGGCCTGTTATGGGTCTCAGTCCATCCTCGGTGGAGGATGCCACGTCCCAGCTCAATTCAGTCAAAGGGGAGAATCAAAGCACCTAGTATAGGCCGTCAAGGTGCTGCCCCCTTTCCCAGGGGGCAGATCCAGGGAGAGCCAGGAATGGCAGAGGCACTGAGCTGTGACTGGTAACGGGGAAGCAAAGCTTATGGACAGAGTGCCTGTGACCTGGTGTTTCATTTTCTTTTAGAATTCTAGACCAATTGGGCATCACTGATCAGCACTTTCAGCCTTGAGTGGGCATCAGAATTGCCTGAGAGCTTCTTAAAACATATGTGGCCAGGCCCCATCCCAGAGTTTCTGCTTCAGGAGGTCTGGGGTGCGGCCAAGAATTTGTATTTCTAACCGGTACCCAGCTGATGCCATGAGAACCACTACAGGAGACTTTAGACCAGAGGCCTTAGTCTGAATTTGAGATGTGCTTTAAGGGGTGATGAACTCTATGAAATTATATAAAGAATTTTGTGCATATTTCAGGAGACAGAGCCTACTATTTTCATTGGAGTCTCAAAGGGCTCCAAGGTCATAAAATAGGATAAGAACCAAAGTCCATCTTTTCCTAATTGTCCCATTTATCTTTTTTTAAGTATATTTTATTGATTTTGGTATTACAGTTGTCCCATTTTTTTTCCTCCCCTTTATTCCCCACTGCCCTGCACCCCCTGCACCAGCATCCCCCGCCCGGCTTAGTTCATGTCCATGGGTCGCATAGATGTTCTTTGGCTTCTCTATTTCCTATACTATTCATAACCTCCCCCTGTCTATTTTGTACCTGGCATTTATGCTTCTTGTTCCCTGTACCTTTTTGTCCATTGTCCCCCTCCTCCTTCCCACTGATAATCGTCTGTGTGATCCCCATTGCTGTGATTCTGTTCCTGTTCTAGTTGTTTGCTTAGTTTGTTTTGTTTTTGTTTATTTTTTTGTTTATTTTTAGGTTCAGTTGTTGATAGTTTGTTTTCATTTTACTGTTAATAGTTTTGATCTACTTTTTCTTAGATAAGATCTTTTAACAGTTCATATAATAAGGGCTTGGTGATATGAACTCCTTTAACTTGACCTTATCTGGGAAGCACTTTATCTGCCTTTCCGTTCTAAACGATAGCTTTGTTGGATGGAGTAATCTTGGATGTAGGTCCTTGCCTTTCATCACTTTGAATACTTCTTGCCAGCCCCTTCTTGCCTGCAAGGTTTCTTTTGAGAAATCAGCTGATAGTCATGGGAACTCCTTTGTAAGTAAATGTCTCCCTTTTTCTTGCTGGTTTTAAGATTCTCTCCTTATCTTTAATCTCTGGTAAAGTAATTATGATGTGTCTTGGCCTGTTTCTCCTTGGGTCCAGCTTCTTTGAAACTCTCTGAGCTTCCTGGACTTCCTGGAAGTCTATTTCCTTTGCCAGATTGGGGAATTTCTCCTTCATCATTTTTTCAAAGAAGTTTCCAAAGAGTTCTTCCTCTTCTTCTGGTATCCCTATGATTTGGATGTTGGAGCGTTTAAAGTTGTCCTGGACATTCCTAAGCCTCTCTTCATTGTTTTTTCAATTCTTGTTTCTTCATTCTGTTCTAATTGAATATTTATCTCTTTCTTCTGCTCCCAATCATTTATTGGAGTTCCGGTTTCCTTCCCTTTACTGTTGGTTCCCTGTATATTTTTCTTTATTTCACTTTGCATAGCCTTCATTTTTTCCTCCATTTTGTGACCATGCTCAGCCATTTCTGTGAGCATCCAGATTACCAGTGTTTTGAACGCTGCATCTGATAGGTTGGCTCTCCTCATTGCTTAGTTCTATTTTTGGAGTTTTGGTATGTTCTTTCATTTGGGCCATATTTCTTTCTCTTGACACAGCTGTTATGATGTAAGGGGCGGAACCTGAGGTATTTGCCAGGGTAGGGCAACCGCTTGGCTGCATTGTGGTGCTGTATGTGGGGGAGGGGTCCGAGAGGGAACAATTCTGCTTGCTCAGCTCTCCCCCGGCTTTCAGTCACCTCTCCTGCTACCCAAAAGCAAACTGGGCCCTTCTGGTGCTGATTCCCAGGTGGGTGGGTTTGCGTACGTTATAGGACCCTGTGGGTCTTTCCAACAGACACCCTTGTGAGGCTGGGAGTTTCTGTCACTGCCACAATCCCCACACATTTTTACAGCCAGAGGTTTTGAGACTTCAGTTTCCCGTGCTGGAACCCTGGGTCTGCCTTGCAGTCTGTCTTGCTCCCCAGTTTTACCTCCTGGTTTATCTGCATGCGTAGGTGGGACTGCCAGGGGCCAGCTCATGCACCTAGTCCTCTAGCCTCTGCCTTGCCACATGTCCTCTCCGCCCCAGCTGCCTGTCTCTGCCCTTCCTACCAGTCTGGACAAATGTTTCTTCTCTTAACTCCTTGGTTGTCGGACTTCCATGCAGTTTGATTTTCTGGCGGTTTTGTTTTTTGTTTTTAAGTTTGTTGGCCTTTTTTGGTTGTGCGAGGAGGCAAAGTATATCAACCTACACCTCCATCTTCCCATTTATTTTTAAAATGCCCATTTCTTTTTTTTTTAAATAATAGCTTTATTGAGACATTTTTACATACCATAAAATTTACCCTTTTAAAGTATACCATTCAGTGGTTTTTAATATACTCAATGTTCTGCAACCATCACCACTAATTCCAGAACATTTATAACAGCCAAGAAATAAATCCTGTACTTACTAGCAGTCACTGTCATTGTCCCATCACGCCAGCCGGTGGCAGCTACTCCTCTGCTTCTGTGCCATTCACACAGCATCAGCATTGCACAAGGCCACCATGGCCCTCATATGCTGAGTGACGTTTTCTAACAGGAAGACATGATACCAGAGGTAAACGGTGAAGGGGTGGACATCACTGCTCTCATGGAGCAAATGGGACTGGGCTTCCTTCAAGTGCATCCTTCTTTTGCTTACACTAATGTTGGAAAAGGTAAATGCAGGTCCCTCCTACTGAACCATGTGTTTCTTTTGTTCTACCTAGAAGGTGCTAATTGGAGGAAGAACTTGCCCCCAAAAGTACCCATAACGCCAATGCCACGGTATTCCATCATGGAGACCCCAGTACTAAAGAAGGAACTGGATAGGTTGGTAGTGTTCTTGAAGGCTTGCTTATTAGTGGTCCCCTCCCTCTTGCAAGTGACTAGGCTTAGTGCAGCTGGGAATTGTAGGACCTGCCACCAAATCTATCCTGGGCTCTGGTTTGGGGGCTTCTGTGGGGAGGGGTCATGTGTGCCTGCCAGCTCTTCACATGCTGTTCCTCAAATTACCCAGGCTCCAAGAAGCTAAGAAATGAGACTCCTCCAGGTTACACATCAGGCGACAGGTCCCCATGTGTCACGTGGGTGGAGATGGGACGCTGGCCTTAACAATCTAAGTAAGAAGACATGATTTTTTTAAGAGAACACCAAAACTAATATATCCTAATGAATGCTGTACTTCACATTGGGCTCGGCAAAGTCATCGCCACCACCACTGATTGCCTAGAACATGGGAAATGGCCTTTCTGGAATATTCTTCAGAGTAAGCTCAATTGGCACACAGGATAAACACTAATCTCTGAATGGTCATAGAAGTCAGGCATTTAGGATTTCAGTTACACAAAGCCATGAATTGGTAGACACTCTTGCTGAAATTCACCTGTCTCTCCATTCAGGTTTGGGGTGCGCCCTCTGCCCAAACGCCAGATGGTCCTGAAACTGAAGGAGATATTCCAGTACACTCACCAGACGCTGGAGTCAGACTCCGAGGATGAGAGTCAATTCTCACAGGTGCCTCTGGAGGCTTCTCGCAGCCATACCCATGCCACCAAAACCTCCAAGGAATCAAAGGCAGCTGGCCGTGCCAGGCTGGAGGCCCCTTCTGACCCTACTCCCCAAAGGTCCAAGGGACCAGCTAAGTCTAAGGGCACACGACATCAGAAGCAGCAGCCTGGTGGAAGCATTCCTCGCGTGTCACCAGCCAAAGAGCTGCCTCTAGGCCCTGATGATGATGCCCAGCTCCCAGCCTCCCAGGAATCCACGGCCACTTCTGTGGACAGCAGTGACAGTTCCTTAAGCTCACAGAGGTAACCAGATCAAAGGAGAGGGCCAGTGGCTTCATAGGTCCTCTGACCAGTGGGTCCGGGAGTCGGCATAAGTGAAGCCTGATTGCCAGTGTTCAGAAACCCCAGTTGTCTTCTGGGCTTGAACTACAGGAAATCCAGATGGGGTTCAAGGGCAGCCCCCTGTGGTCCTGCTGAGCAGTCTTTTGGAGCTCCCACACCCCTCAACCCACAGGACGCTTCCTTGAGTGGGGCCAGCCCCGTATGTCTTCTTGGTGGGGGTCTGATGCCATCAATGGAAGTTTCTGACTGAGGACAAGATCCTGCTCAGGCGGCAGCTAGAGTGCCAGGGATACAGCACTGCGGGGGTCATCCATGCCATGTGCAAGGCTTCTCAGGGGACCTAGAAACATTCCTTTCTTCAAAAAAGCTCCTGGTCTTGGCGGGGAGTGGGGGGAGCTGGAAAGAAGGTGTGTCACAAAAATTAATATCTGGTTCTTTTCAGTTCTTCCAGTGAGTTTGGAGTGGCCTTTGAGTCTGTAGGAGAAGATGAGGAGGGTGAGAAGGGGGTCAGTGCTTCGCAGGCAGCTGTCCAGGCAGTGGATACGGAGGAGGCAGTGAGACGCTACATCCGCTCCACACCAGCCCTCTACCGCAAGGTCCTGCTGTACCAGCCCTTTGAGCTGTCGGAGCTGCAGGCGGAGCTGAAGCAGCAAGGCATCCGCATGGCCACAGGGAAGCTGCTGGATTTCCTGGACACCAACTGCATCACCTTCACCACTGCTGCGGCCCGGAAGGAGAAGTTTGAGAGGAAGAGGCGGCAGCCCATGGGCAAGAAGAGGAGGGGCAGAACAGACCGGCCCATTCCCCGCTCCCCGCCCATGGCTGTCAGCAGCGTGTGAGGGTTTGTGGCCCCTTTGGCAAGCCAGGCCTCCACACATGTTTCTGGGCCTTGGGACCACATCTCCTCCCCCTGCGAAAGTGATGGTGGTACTGACATGGATCAGCTTCTTTCCCACTCTGTTTCCTGGAGTGGTATTTGGAATGTGCCACCCACTGGATTTAGGGCCCTTGGTTCCTCCCTCTGTCGGTGCCAACTGTTTGTCTCCCTTTAACCCTGTTTGTGTTTCAGGCCAGAAGGGCAGTGTCTTGACGCATCTTTTGCTCTTTACATCCATCAGCTGCAGTATGTCCTTCCCTGAGATGGATGTCCAGCCTGCCCCCTCAGTCTTCTCAGCACTTGTGCTGTAGCCCCGGCCTCCGCTGGCAGACCAGATATCCACAGACCGCTTGTTCTACCATGTACCAGGTGTTCTGCTGGCCCAGCTGTTCTGCCTAGACACCTGTCATTGTCACCAGCAGTCTCCAGACTGGACAGTGCAGAAGGGCCCAGCACAGCTCTGAAATCCCCAGAACAAGCATGTTCTTTGTGACCTGGTTGAGTTGGTGTGTGTTAAAGCTGCCTCCAGCCTCAGGAGCGGTGTGGAACACGGGTAAGGCGCGGAAGAGAAGAATTTGGGTCTACACACCTTGTGACTGTCTTGTCTGTTTTAAATTCAGTGTAGTTCATTTTATATGATGTGCAATAAAAACAAAAATGCTTTATGAAAACCTTCCAAATTTTCCACTGTAGAAAAATAATGAGGGAAACTGGCCGCGAGTTTCACCCACAGCTCCCAGCTGTCCCCAGAATATTCCTGTGAAAGGCCTTTGTGCCTGTAGTTTATCTCAAGGGATAACCCAGGCCTGCTGGTTCCTCATTAACACTTCGGTTCTTCGATAATAGATGTTCATTCACGCACATGTTTACCTGTCCATACAACCACGTTAATAGAGCCCTTACCAGGTGTCAAGCTCTAGCCCTTAGTGCTCAAAGGACGCCCAAGGCCCAGCAGCCTCATCTGGACTTTGTCACAGATGCAGGCTCAGGCCACCAGACCCATTGAGTCAGAATCTGCATCTTAGCAGGATGAGTGGGAGGCCTACTCTGGCCTGGGTGCAGGGCCCTGGGGAGGGAGGGGAGTGAATTGGCACTTCCATTCATCTAATGGAGCCTGTCCTCGTGCCCAGCATGAGGGCCGGAAGGGATGGCTTATAGGGGTGGGGGTTTGCGAGCTGGGCCTCAGGCATGCAGCATTTAGGGAGGCGAAATGGGGTTCCTTGAACTTGTGTCCTGGTTTGTGACCAGATGGAGAGGACCTGGCTCTCCCTGCACGTGCTGCCCAGGGCAGATGATGAGAGGAATGCCAGGGCTCAGAGCGTACGGCTAGTGGCAGATGCTTTGATCAGACTCAAGGTGGAGTCTTGCCTGGTTTGGAAAGGTACCATGTGTTTCTTACATGAAGGGCTTGATCTTTCTCCCCTAGTATGGACTGGTTTAGGGAAATGAGATGGAGTTAGGAAGGTGGGAGGCAATGAGGTCCTTACCCAGCTTCACTGGCTTGTGGTGGAGACCATGGACCCAGACGCAACGGAGACTGTGGACTTGGACATGGTAGAGACCATGGACCTGGACATGCAGATTTGGGTGCACTCCCCTCAGAGAGGCCTGGGAGCCCTCGCTCCTGGGAAGACAACCCAGACTCACAGAATGTTACCAACTCCAGGCTGATAAGGAGATGTTGGGGGGGCGGGGAGGTTAAAAGAGGTAAAAACCTGAAGGCCAAGAAAGGCAGAGAAGGCAAAACCTTGCAGCCCAACACCCTGGCTGGTAGGGTTTGTGTAGCATGACCCACAGAAGCCAGCAGGGGTCAGCAGTGGGCCTGGCTGGGGCTCCAGCTGGGAGTTTGAACCTGTGTGCAAAGCAGGAAATGGGGTGAAAAACTAGCCACTGCAATATAGAAACCTCCACAACCAGAGAATCAGTGGTATCCAGGAAAATAACTTTGACCCTTCCATAGAAATTAGATCTGACTCAGGAACTGGGAAATTAGGGCCAACTGACTGGTTGAAAAGGAAAATAGTGGTGAAAGCTGCCCTCTCCCAGTGCCTACAAGAAGGCTGAAGGAGCCAGACCAGCAATGGGCCTTGCGGTGGACAATGGGTACAGGAGTTCCCTCCCAGAAGCTCTGCGTCATGAAGGGGATTTAGAACAAGAAGTATGCTGAGTCTGAAGCAGTGGAACATTCACTACTCAGGGAAATTGTAACAGTCACACTTTGCTGTGATGTGAGGGTCTCCTGAGGCTGTCTCACTTCCTGTGGCCCAGCCATGGCCATTGTCACTCAAGGCATAAAAGAACCAGAGCCCAGCTCTAGCAGGACCCAGGCAAGGAGGCCCTAGGGCCCTTCACAACCTCAGCAAGGCCCCGCCCCGGCCGGCAGGAAACCTCACGCTGTCGCTGAGTTGGAAAGAGCCTTTCAGGCTGACCACAGTTCTGGGCGAACGGAAAACCCCAATGTGAGAACAACCAGGGAGACACTACCCCAAACACATATACACCCTCAGGAGAGTCAGGAAAAAGTCCGCCAGCTTTTCTCTCACAGAAGAGCCAGCAGAGGGAGTCCATGGACCAGCCTTGTCTGGTGGTGGGATGTGGCTTAGAGGTTGGGAGGAAAGGTGTTAGCAGGGAAGTGCTGACTCCAGGATGTTCCCTGAGATCCCCATGGAGGAAGCTGTCTCCTCTTGTGCTCAGGATCTATCCACTTTGAGTTATGAAGGGAGGAACACAGAAGCCCTCTTGGCCTCTTTCAGGTGACAGAAACCCCCAGGCGCCTGCGGTTTCCAACATCCTGTAGGCGGCCTCATTTTAGCCGCCTTCATGCACCTTGAGGCTGAGGCTGCAGCAGCCAGTCTGCGCTCTGCTTGTCCTGAGCCTTAGCAGACTCCCCAGGGCAGCCGCTGTGTGTCTCCCAGCGCCTAGCAAGGTGGTAGGCTCTCAGGAAGCACTGATGGGAGGGAAGGGGCACAGAAGGATGCCCTCCTAAGGAGAACTTCTAATCTGCTGCCGCAGTGTCCTCCCCTCCCCCTTTTTATCCCCTCCCCTCCTACGCAGAGCTCTTCAGAAAAGACCAAATACAAGCACATACTTCCCACCTCCCCTTATACACAGGTTGCTGCATGCATCCAAACCCACTGTTCTCCTGCTCCACAATATCACTAGTTCCCACTTGCTTGCTGAGGAAAATTGAAGCCCCTATTACTTGGCTCCCACCTTGTCATCTGCTTCTCTCTGTGGCTTCCTCCCTGTCACTGGAGAATGGCCGGTACTTTTCCTCTATTGTAATTTTTCTCGTATTTTTCGCTCTGGGTTATGTCCTTCCATCTCATGACTACCTATCAATACAGCCCACTTGCTGGGGTCCAGCTCCAGGGGCCTGAGTGAACTGTCACACTCTGCTATTTCAGGGTGCAAGTGACCTGCCTTGACTCACAGGAAGACAATGTGGTGTATAGCTGGGTTGAAGGTGCCTCTTGGGACCTAAGAAAAGAGAAGGAAAGTAAGGGGGTTAGAAAGGGTGATGAGGGTGCAGGGTACAAGAGCACGCCAGTCTGAAAGTGACAGGACACAGGTCGAGCCCCAGAGAGATCAGCTTCCCTCCGTGTGGCCTTGGGCAAGTCATTGAACATCCTTACCGCTTTCCCTACCACCCCCCAAAAAGCAAAGATTTGCTGATGGTGAACCTGTTTTCCTTTGCGGTTTTGATGAGACCACTCTCTCCTGAGCATCACATCTGCAGGGCCTCTGGGTCCTCAAATGAAGACCCTTGTGGTGCCCCCTGCCTCTCTGACTTAGGGGACAGTGATGAAGCCAAGAACCGGCAAAGCAGCTGTGGCTTATTGATTTGCCTGAGAGGCTGTTGGCTTTTGAAATCAGACAGGAAGGAGGGTTGAGGTGGAGCCGGCACAGGAAGAGGTGAAGAGCCCTAGCTGATGTGACAACCAGTGGGCTCAGGGACTACAGGAGCTGGTGGGCTCTTCCCTGCTGTCCTGAGTAGGACTTTACTCCTGCCCTGGACGGATCCTGAGGACTTGGAGCCCAGCTGACGGGCCACAGAGAGACACAGAACATCCCCACTACTGTCTGTGTCCACTGGAGCAGGTCTAAGCCTGGGAGCACTGGGATGGAGCCCCCACTGACCCCCTGGTCTTGGCATCCCTGAGGCAACAAGGCTCAGGAGGTAAGTTGAGCCCAGGCTGCCTCAGTGCAAGATGGGGGAGGAAGAGGAGATGGCTGGCAGGAAGGACCATGATTTTTGAGGACGGGCTGTTCTAGAAAGGGGTTGGCTGGGGTGACTCCAGGAAGGTGTCCCCATGGGTACCAGGAGCTGCTGAACAGGACTAGTTCATGGTGTAAAATAAACCAGTGTGCCCAAGGATGGCAAAGGGGACAAAGGGCAGCTCCCTAGGTACCAGTGATGGGACAGGAGGAGCAGGAAGTAACCAGGAAGTGCTGCTGCAGGCAGGCAAAAGGGATGCTGAGCAGTGTGGCCCAACAGTTAAATTTTCAGTCTGCAGACCGGAGCACCATTCCCGCACCTCCTTCCACCATAACATGGAGGTTACTGTACGAGACCCACCCCAGGGTCCTGAGGTCCAAGGGAGACAGTGCAGGCGGGGTGGGGGTCAGCGCTCAGTGCCTGCTCCGTCAGTGCCGTCCTCCTGTTCGGTGAGCAGCCCCCGGGGCCTCTACCAGCCCCAGCCTTGGATGGAAATGAAGTTCATCGTGCTGAGAGGCACAGTAACCACAGAGGCCTTCTCGGAAGAGGCACTGCTGAGCTGGGCCAGGGGTGGCTGCTGGCCGTGAGGTCCTCTCCTATGGTCGGGCTTTTGGGGCCCTGGGGTCCCTCTTGGTCCCCTCAATGGAGGTACATGCTTTCCCTGGGCCCAGGGGCTCGCTCTTGGCCATCGCAGCCCGCCCTGTGGCTAACTTCCAGGTGGGAGTGGGCTGCTGGGCTCCCCAACACTGAGCCTGTCCCCATCTTCCCACTGAGGCTCCAGGGCCCAGTGTGGTTAAGAGAGCCATGTCTTGTGGCAAAGCGCCTCTCCCTCCTCTGGGAAAGGCTGTCTGGTCTCAAGTCAGGAGAGAGGAGCGTCCAAGAAGCTGTGGCCTGACATACGGGCAGCCCAGGCAGGAGGTCAGTACTGTGGGACCCCTACTGTCACCCAGTACAGGTGTGCAAAGCAGAGGCCACAGTTAACATACAGGCCAAGCAGCAGCTAAGGCTGAGGCCCCTGGGAGGGAAGCACAGGACAAGATGAGACTCACTGGAAGAGTCAATGAGTAAATTGGGACCTGGGTCTTCTCAGAGATGGGGCAGGAGCCCAACTATGCAGCCTGAGGGATGGGGTCTGAGCAACACCAACCATAGGGAGCAGGTGTCCTCGCTGTGCCCTGCCCCATGGATGAAGCTCTGGGGGACGTGTGAGAGCGGCGAAACCCAGCTCCACGGAAGTGGTAGTTGTCCCCTAATTGTCCATCTGGTCTTGTTCTGCACCCTCCAGCTCAGACCCTCTGCAGAGTGAAGGCCTCCGGCCTGTAGATCCCCAAGGATGACCCGAGGCGCACTCGCCCTCAGTCCTCCCCTCTTTAAGCTGGGCTTGCAGGGCCTCCCGCC